ATAGTTCTGGAACTTAAAGACCACTTTTCAATACAAAGTGACTGAAACGCCAGAAAATATTGCTGAAAAGTAATTTACATCAGTCTGACAGAAAAGGGGGGGGGGTTAATAGAGAGGGGGGGGCTTATTACAAAATCTGACTTCCAGAGGGGGGGCGTATTAGAGAGGGGAGCTTAATAGAGAGGGGTGGCTAAATAGAGCTTTTACGGTATTTAATGGACCACCCACCACAATGCACGTTCGCGAAATTTTATGGTGGTGTGAATGTTTGAAAATTTTAGAAGATTTGTATGGAAAACGTATATACTGGAAAGCAAGGGTAACGTTTTCAATGCAAATTCCCTGAATATTTTAAACATTCAGACCACCGTAAAATTTCACTCTTAAACGCCAGGAGGCTCAACGTTTGCCATATTTCATTATGCTCTTTATATGTTTTTGGTAATAAGTCATAGTCCATAACACTGATAATGAAAAATAGGTCACGTGACTCCTAGCTGCAATGGGTCTATTTTGAGTCTATGTATTACTGATATATCGGCAAGCAGCCCGGCAAGCATTCCTTTTTGTGTTTGAATGTTTTCACAACTTTATAACATTGTGATGTACAATTGACCGAACCTTACACCCGTCATACGATATGAGATACTCAGTTTGGGTCCGCAGACGACTGAGCACGGAGATTTGAACCTACCGTAAAAGCTCTATTTAGCCCCCCTTCTCTATTTAGCCCCCCCCCCTCTCTATTAAGCCCCCCTATCTATTAAGCCCCCCCCCCCCATCTAATAAGCCCCCCTTTGGAAGTCAGATTTTGTAATAGCCCCCCCCCTCTTTATAAGTCCCCCCCTTCTTCCGTCAGGCTGATGTAAATGACTTTTCAGCAATATTTTCTGGCGTTTAAGTCACTTTGTATTGAAACACGGTCTTTAATTTCCAAAACTATCGAGTTATGGTATAAATTACGTTTCCTTTGTAAGACGGTCATACATAACCCATTTCTTGTTCTGTTTTAGTTAGTGGTGTAATAGTAAAGTTTGAAAAATTAATGTGAATTTTACTGAACATTTATGATTTGAAATAAGCCCCCCTCTCTATTAAGCCCCCCTCTCTAATAATTATAAGCCCCCCCTTCTTGAGGCCTGAAAATAAATAAGCCCCCCGGGGGCTTAATAGAGCTTTTACGGTAAGTCAGTTTTTAGCGAAATACTAAGAAAGATATACCACAGAAAGCTTATGTGCCTGATGATATGAGAGCTATACCATTTCGTTTTTGTAAAAGTATGAGTTCGATCGCCACAATGACATTTCCGTATCAAAAAACTCCGCGTAGAATGAGCGTAGAATGACGGACGGCTACCACGTTTTTCCCGCCAAAATGACAGTGGTTCACGCACGCGCACTATTTTACCTAGTATCGTTTTACCTAGTATCTTGATGAAATTGATAGAAATATGGATCTAAAACTTACTATAAAATACAGTTTTTTTATCCAAGCTAAGCTCATCCGAAAAAGAATTGTACGTAGAAAATAATTTTACTTTTTGAGTTTGTTCTTCAACCAATCACGGGCAGGAGTTTTGATGACGTGTGCTAAAATTGGCGCCATTTGTGCGTGCAACGCTTGCTTGAATGAACAGAATTTTTTACTATGCAAGAAAAGCGCGACTTGATGAACTTCGCGTTTGTCGTTTGAAAGATAAGCTTAAATTTATCCGGTTTGTTTCGTTGAACTTGAGGTCAAGAGGACAGAAAGACCTTAGGATTGGGTAAGTTTTCGTATATAGTAAAGTTAAGCCAAAGTTAATAAGTTAACCAGGTTTAATTAGATTTAAAGTTTGATGGTAAACTTATCGATCGATCTCGAGTCGACATTCATGTTCGATAATTTGCTATTTGTCTTTTATACATATTTTGTGTTTACCCTGTGGATTCAGTACAAAGTATAAACGTAAGCTTGCATGCCCTTGTCATTTTGGTCTTAATGTAAACGAATATGCGACGTTGATACACAAGAACGACATTTTTCGTTTTGCACAACAAGTGAGGTTCGGATCGACTTCATTTGAAAGCGGATTCCTTCCGATTCTCGATAAAACCGAGAGATAAATTATAAAGTCTATAAACGTAAGCTTATTAGAACGTTTGATTTGATATTTATTTTCACTAAACTATAGAAAATACTATGGTGTCGTGATGAATTCTACTTCAAATAATTTTCATTACATTTGTTGTTTATGTGAGATGTTGTTGACACCTTTTTAGTCGGGCAGATACACGCAGGTTTTAAACTCAACAGGTTTGCCCAATAAAGCAGGTTCTCTTTTATCTTTCTAATAAAACAAGATAAAAAGCGCCGCATACACTTTACCTTTTAAAATTTAAAAATAAATTTAAAACTGATTTTACTTTATTGATATAAGCTTATTTGTTCTCCGCCGTATCCCAAAGTGTTCAAAATCTAATTTCTCCTTTCAATATCAATACACTGTCATACAGACAGGTGATGAGAATAAAGAAAAAACATCAACTGGGGGATGTATTGTCTTGATGTACAACCAAATTCATTCGTCAGTATCTGAATGATCTGAATCAGTATCACTGAACCCACTTTAGTGAAGTTTGCTGTCATATTTAAAGCTAACAGACCGCCATTTTACAAATGGAAGTTTTATTCAGTGCATTCTAGTAATTATGTCTGCAGCAAAGTAAGGCATTTTTCGAAAAGTCTTTGCGATACGTGTGCCGTGTCGTTATTTTCATCCGGGATAATTCCCACATAAAAGTGACTGGGATGTCCTTCGGAAATTTTAAAAGAAACTCTAAATGGTACCAGATTTTCTGGGCGTGGCCCAAGTTCATTTTCGCCCCCAAAGAGGTACCAGTCCTGACAGTTGCATCGAACGTCTACAGGTTTTAATTTCCAACGCGTTTGATGTATTTCTGAGGGTTCCTTTTGAATCTCATTTGGCTTCTAAACATCAACTTAGTTGGCAGTTAGTTTCTATAATGTTTGTCACCCCTAAAAGGCACGACAAGCACCCCCACCAATGCCACATAGGGCCGGAGTCCTCCCTCCACGGTTTTACTAACTGTCTAAGAACTCAATTTTATTTCTTGTTTGGTCGACTACTCTCTATATTCTAATTCATCTTATGGGCGTTTAACTATTATTTTCGGTGTTAACAGCACGTGTTCAGGATATATAAGAGCAAACATGACAAAGAGCGATTTTACTGTCCTCATTTGCTTTATTTGAAAACGGATTGCCAAGGAAAATCCATTTTAAAAGCACAAGATAATAAATTTAATATGTTAATTGTCCTCACTTTGTCTGATTTTTCACATAAATACAAGACCCCCTTAAATAAATTGGCAAGGACCATAGAAAACGTTTCTAAGTCTTATTTCAATAGTTTCACTAATGGCTTATTTCACTCGACAAATCTTATGAACTTTATAAATATTAGAAAGTACACTGAATTTCCTGAAGGAATTCTAATAAGATTTTTCACATAAAGTCTGTGAGCCTCGCGTGCGCGTTTTCAAACCCATCTTCGCCACAGTGTAGTCGTCCCCACCTCCTAATAGTGGGTGCCTGCAAGTTGCCGAGTACTGTTCTACAGAAACACCGTGATAACCCACATCGGAGTAAAAAGTGTTGAGATATTTTTCTCTTTATGAGTGTTTTTACAAACATTCATATTTATTTTGCAACATCCCCCCTCCCCTCCCCCAACCAATGTTGGGAGTCATTTGCACAGCCTTCGCAGTTGCACAACATTGAATAGGGGGGCTGGGGGATTAGAGAATCGTCCCTAGATGCATTTGAAACAGCTGAACCGGTAAATATCGCATAGTGTCATTTGCTGGAAAGTGTCCAAACTACTTTGGCGCCGATTTTAGGCACGTTTTTGAGCTTCTCGTAAATCGATGGCAATGCCTCTTTAGAAACTGTTTAGCATCGTCAAGACTCGTCGTCATGGTCAATCCAGCACAACCGGGCCGGTTTTTCAGGTCCTTTTTCGTTTTCATCACCAACACTTATGGTGGAATTTCGTGTTCTCAATTGCGGTAATCGTAGATTGCCTATTGTACTCTTATCTGCTAAACGCGGTTTTGTACAGGAGGTCTGAAGGCCTTAAAGGGTTCAAGGAAGCTAGGAGCAGCTAGTCCTGTTTGGTTCTGATGAAGATAACGGTATCTGAAGATGTCCTGATTTCGTGCTAACAGCTGGCTCTATTTAGGCAGCTTTAAGTTCTCTGTATCGCTTCATCCGTTTCTTTTAAGAACACGATCAAGATGACGTAAATGGTGGTTGACCGTAAATCAGATGCAGTACATTCTATCGACAATACTGGTGCAAGCCACATCCGCCATTAAAATCCAAGATACGAACGCCCAGTTTTCCTGAGCGAGATAAGATTAGAAGTACTTTGCAACTGAACTACTCGAGTGCGTTCACCTATCAGTGTATTGTATTGTGTTTATTGTCCGTTTGGTCTGTGGGTTAGACGTATCAGACAAAGACGACACCAAATAAATCTAATAATGTTACCATAATACCGATTTGTTTTAGGACATATACAGAGGTCCATAAATATACTTATAGACTTTAAAGAATTCTAGATATCATGGCCGCAGTATTTTTAATTTTCGTTTGGAACAAAATTTCGTTTGATATCAATTATCATTGATGCCGACAACGTTTTTGTGTTTTCGTGATTTTATCGGTTAAACTCAATTGTAAGTTATAAAGAAAATTAATGGTCTATCTTGAATTATTTATTATGTCTGGTGGCGAATATAACTGACCATAATTGTGCAAAAACAAACCTCGAGTAGCTTGTGACACTGACTGAACAATATCTTTCTCATTGTGTTTCCACTAAGCTTGTTAAAAAACAGTTTTCCATCATTTCTTTTCATACATATCTCACATATTGACAAACTATCCTAGCAGTATGCGGGAGGTTAGTCACGTTATATGGACTAAGCTCGAGTCTCCTGTAGCTCAGTGGTAGAACGTCTGACCGGAGTGCGGAAGCTCATAGGTTCTACTCCTATTGGGAGAACTCGGAATTCTTTTACCGAATAGCTTGTGCCACTGACTGAAAAATATATTTCTCGAAAAACCTCGTGTTTAGTATCCAATTTACAAGAAAAGCATCGTTTTAATGTTTCCAGCTGTCCAAGTTCCTTTTCCAGAATCAAAGGGTTGCGAAATGAGACCTACAACCCTATGCAAAAAGACTTGAGAAACTTGAGCGGTTTTGCTTATTAGTCTTGAAGCTCTATAGCATATGATCTCCACCCCCCCCCCCCCCCCCCCCCTTAATCAATGGTGGTTTTGTGCTGATACAAACTCAATATTGTTTTAGGAAACAACATTGAATAGGGGAGGGGTAGTTTTAATAAACTTCTCCGCCAATTTAATAGTTATGATCGCTTTTTCAGAGGCGTGTCTCAACAGTTACAGCTGTTTCGAGAAAGGTTGTCGGAAAAAAGCGCACGCGACAATCCCGAAAGATAATGTGGGATATGATCAGCGAGGTACGTTCCTGACACTGTAGCTGTCGAACCTACTTTTGTTGCTTTCTTTTAGCACTCGCAAACATACGTCCATGGCGTCTCGTGCCATTTTCTCAGATTTCCCTGAAATGCTGAAGTCAAGGAACGGTGAACTTAAAACTACCCACAATACCTTTCTGGATTGTCGCGTGCGCTTTTTTTCGACAACCTTTCTCGAAACAGCTGTATACCTCATTTATAGCTGCAACGAACCCTTAATCCATATCCCTCAGTAAAACTGTTAATGTAAAAGTTAGTCCCCACTTCTCTTTTCCTTTCTTTAACAATTTCTACGCAGGATGGCAGGTCACGAGAACGACACACTTGATCATCTCAGAAACGTCTTGACTAAGATCCAAATTCTCCCAAAGAGAATGATAGAAAACGATCAAAGACATCGCTTCATCCGTTTCTTTTAAGAACACGATCAAGATGACGTAAATGGTGGTTGACGTAAATCAGATGCAGTACATTCTATCGACAATACTGGTGCAAGCCACATCCGCCATTAAAATCCAAGATACGAACGCCCAGTTTTTCCTGAGCGAGATAAGATTAGAAGTACTTTGCAACTGAACTACTCGAGTGCGTTCACCTATCAGTGTATTGTATTGTGTTTATTGTCCGTTTGGTCTGTGGGTTAGACGTATCAGACAAAGACGACACCAAAATAAATCTAATAATGTTACCATAATACCGATTTGTTTAGGAACATATACAGAGGTCCATAAATATACTTATAGACTTTAAAGAATTCTAGATATCATGGCCGCAGTATTTTTAATTTTCGTTTGGAACAAAATTTCGTTTGATATCAATTATCATTGATGCCGACAACGTTTTTGTGTTTTCGTGATTTTATCGGTTAAACTCAATTGTAAGTTATAAAGAAAATTAATGGTCTATCTTGAATTATTTATTATGTCTGGTGGCGAATATAACTGACCATAATTGTGCAAAAACAAACCTCGAGTAGCTTGTGACACTGACTGAACAATATCTTTCTCATTGTGTTTCCACTAAGCTTGTTAAAAAACAGTTTTCCATCATTTCTTTTCATACATATCTCACATATTGACAAACTATCCTAGCAGTATGCGGGAGGTTAGTCACGTTATATGGACTAAGCTCGAGTCTCCTGTAGCTCAGTGGTAGAACGTCTGACCGGAGTGCGGAAGCTCATAGGTTCTACTCCTATTGGGAGAACTCGGAATTCTTTTACCGAATAGCTTGTGCCACTGACTGAAAAATATATTTCTCGAAAACCTCGTGTTTAGTATCCAATTTACAAGAAAAGCATCGTTTTAATGTTTCCAGCTGTCCAAGTTCCTTTTCCAGAATCAAAGGGTTGCGAAATGAGACCTACAACCCTATGCAAAAAGACTTGAGAAACTTGAGCGGTTTTGCTTATTAGTCTTGAAGCTCTATAGCATATGATCTCCACCCCCCCCCCCCCCCCCCCCTTAATCAATGGTGGTTTTGTGCTGATACAAACTCAATATTGTTTTAGGAAACAACATTGAATAGGGGAGGGGTAGTTTTAATAAACTTCTCCGCCAATTTAATAGTTATGATCGCTTTTTCAGAGGCGTGTCTCAACAGTTACAGCTGTTTCGAGAAAGGTTGTCGGAAAAAAGCGCACGCGACAATCCCGAAAGATAATGTGGGATATGATCAGCGAGGTACGTTCCTGACACTGTAGCTGTCGAACCTACTTTTGTTGCTTTCTTTTAGCACTCGCAAACATACGTCCATGGCGTCTCGTGCCATTTTCTCAGATTTCCCTGAAATGCTGAAGTCAAGGAACGGTGAACTTAAAACTACCCACAATACCTTTCTGGATTGTCGCGTGCGCTTTTTTTCGACAACCTTTCTCGAAACAGCTGTATACCTCATTTATAGCTGCAACGAACCCTTAATCCATATCCCTCAGTAAAACTGTTAATGTAAAAGTTAGTCCCCACTTCTCTTTTCCTTTCTTTAACAATTTCTACGCAGGATGGCAGGTCACGAGAACGACACACTTGATCATCTCAGAAACGTCTTGACTAAGATCCAAATTCTCCCAAAGAGAATGATAGAAAACGATCAAAGACATCGCTTCATCCGTTTCTTTTAAGAACACGATCAAGATGACGTAAATGGTGGTTGACGTAAATCAGATGCAGTACATTCTATCGACAATACTGGTGCAAGCCACATCCGCCATTAAATCCAAGATACGAACGCCCAGTTTTCCTGAGCGAGATAAGATTAGAAGTACTTTGCAACTGAACTACTCGAGTGCGTTCACCTATCAGTGTATTGTATTGTGTTTATTGTCCGTTTGGTCTGTGGGTTAGACGTATCAGACAAAGACGACACCAAAATAAATCTAATAATGTTACCATAATACCGATTTGTTTAGGAACATATACAGAGGTCCATAAATATACTTATAGACTTTAAAGAATTCTAGATATCATGGCCGCAGTATTTTTAATTTTCGTTTGAACAAAATTTCGTTTGATATCAATTATCATTGATGCCGACAACGTTTTTGTGTTTTCGTGATTTTATCGGTTAAACTCAATTGTAAGTTATAAAGAAAATTAATGGTCTATCTTGAATTATTTATTATGTCTGGTGGCGAATATAACTGACCATAATTGTGCAAAAACAAACCTCGAGTAGCTTGTGACACTGACTGAACAATATCTTTCTCATTGTGTTTCCACTAAGCTTGTTAAAAACAGTTTTCCATCATTTCTTTTCATACATATCTCACATATTGACAAACTATCCTAGCAGTATGCGGGAGGTTAGTCACGTTATATGGACTAAGCTCGAGTCTCCTGTAGCTCAGTGGTAGAACGTCTGACCGGAGTGCGGAAGCTCATAGGTTCTACTCCTATTGGGAGAACTCGGAATTCTTTTACCGAATAGCTTGTGCCACTGACTGAAAAATATATTTCTCGAAAAACCTCGTGTTTAGTATCCAATTTACAAGAAAAGCATCGTTTTAATGTTTCCAGCTGTCCAAGTTCCTTTTCCAGAATCAAAGGGTTGCGAAATGAGACCTACAACCCTATGCAAAAAGACTTGAGAAACTTGAGCGGTTTTGCTTATTAGTCTTGAAGCTCTATAGCATATGATCTCCACCCCCCCCCCCCCCCCCCCCCTTAATCAATGGTGGTTTTGTGCTGATACAAACTCAATATTGTTTTAGGAAACAACATTGAATAGGGGAGGGGTAGTTTTAATAAACTTCTCCGCCAATTTAATAGTTATGATCGCTTTTTCAGAGGCGTGTCTCAACAGTTACAGCTGTTTCGAGAAAGGTTGTCGGAAAAAAGCGCACGCGACAATCCCGAAAGATAATGTGGGATATGATCAGCGAGGTACGTTCCTGACACTGTAGCTGTCGAACCTACTTTTGTTGCTTTCTTTTAGCACTCGCAAACATACGTCCATGGCGTCTCGTGCCATTTTCTCAGATTTCCCTGAAATGCTGAAGTCAAGGAACGGTGAACTTAAAACTACCCACAATACCTTTCTGGATTGTCGCGTGCGCTTTTTTTCGACAACCTTTCTCGAAACAGCTGTATACCTCATTTATAGCTGCAACGAACCCTTAATCCATATCCCTCAGTAAAACTGTTAATGTAAAAGTTAGTCCCCACTTCTCTTTTCCTTTCTTTAACAATTTCTACGCAGGATGGCAGGTCACGAGAACGACACACTTGATCATCTCAGAAACGTCTTGACTAAGATCCAAATTCTCCCAAAGAGAATGATAGAAAACGATCAAAGACATCGCTTCATCCGTTTCTTTTAAGAACACGATCAAGATGACGTAAATGGTGGTTGACGTAAATCAGATGCAGTACATTCTATCGACAATACTGGTGCAAGCCACATCCGCCATTAAAATCCAAGATACGAACGCCCAGTTTTCCTGAGCGAGATAAGATTAGAAGTACTTTGCAACTGAACTACTCGAGTGCGTTCACCTATCAGTGTATTGTATTGTGTTTATTGTCCGTTTGGTCTGTGGGTTAGACGTATCAGACAAAGACGACACCAAAATAAATCTAATAATGTTACCATAATACCGATTTGTTTAGGAACATATACAGAGGTCCATAAATATACTTATAGACTTTAAAGAATTCTAGATATCATGGCCGCAGTATTTTTAATTTTCGTTTGGAACAAAATTTCGTTTGATATCAATTATCATTGATGCCGACAACGTTTTTGTGTTTTCGTGATTTTATCGGTTAAACTCAATTGTAAGTTATAAAGAAAATTAATGGTCTATCTTGAATTATTTATTATGTCTGGTGGCGAATATAACTGACCATAATTGTGCAAAAACAAACCTCGAGTAGCTTGTGACACTGACTGAACAATATCTTTCTCATTGTGTTTCCACTAAGCTTGTTAAAAAACAGTTTTCCATCATTTCTTTTCATACATATCTCACATATTGACAAACTATCCTAGCAGTATGCGGGAGGTT